CTTTAAGAGGAGGCTAGATGAACACCTTGCTGGGGTCATTTGACCCCAGTACTCTTTCCTGCCATTTTCAGAGGGTCAGACTTCATGATCTTCTCAGGTCCCTTCCAACCCAACCAACTATGAAACTATAGGTAGGGGACCGTGGTCCTCCCTAGGCACAATGATGGGGCAAGGGCTGACCCCTGGGGAGGGGGGTTCTGGTCACAGCAGCTGCTAGTGCTGGAGCCACAGGCTCCTCCTCCACTCCCAACACGATGTCTTCATGGGCAGCCACCCTTAGCACCCGACCCATGGGTCCTCTCTGGGGGGAAACATCCTCTGGGACCCACATAGTTTCTCTGAGTCTGGATATCTCTTCCTCTTCATGAATCTCTCGGAGGAGGTAACTGAAGTCAGGTGGGCTGCTCCTGCTGCCCTCTAAGTTTCATAGTTTCATAGTTTCTAGGGTCGGAAGGGACCTAGGCAGATCATCTAGTCCGACCTCCTGCCATGGCAGGAAAGAGTACTGGGGCCAAACGACCCCAGCAAGATGTCATCTAACCTCCTCTTAAAAACCCCCAGGGTGGGAGCCTGCACCACCTCACTTGGAAGCTGGTTCCAGACCCTAGCTGCCCTGACCGTGAAGTAGCGCCTCCTGATGTCCAACTTGACCCTTCCCTCCGCCAGCTTGTGACCGTTATTCCTGGTCACTCCTGGCGGCGCTCGGGGGAACAGGGACTCCCCCAGTGCCTGTTGATCCCCCCTGACTAGTTTATAGCAGGCCACAAGATCCCCCCTCAGCCTTCTCTTCTGGAGGCTGAACAGGTTCAGGTCCCGTAACCTTTCCTCATAGGACCTGCCCTGCTGTCCCTTGATCATGCGAGTGGCCCTCCTCTGGACCCTCTCCATGCTGTCCACATCCCTCTTAAAGTGCGGCTCCCAGAACTGGACGCAGTACTCCAGCTGCGGCCTGACCAGTGCCGCATAGAGGGGGAGGATCACCTCCTTGGTCCTGCTTGAAATGCATCTGTGGATGCACGACAAGGTACAGTTGGCCTTCCTAGCCGCCTCCCCACACTGTCGGCCCATGTTCATCTTGGAGTCAATAATGAGGTTATTGTTGAGGTTCCAGAGTAAATTCAAGCTATACTGTGCCCCAGTATGAATTTGCTGGAGCCATATCTGATCAGCATCAGTGACACTAAGCGCTGCTTGGGTCACCAGGCATTGTAACACTGGCTCTAAGCGCAGGACATACACTGAAAGAGTCTCGCCCTCGTCCTGGAAAGTTCCCAGCAATTTGTAGTATGCCCCCCGCCACTCCCTGTGGGTTGGCCAAAAGCATCCTGAAGGACCTGCATGCATTGCTGGGTGGTGATAACAGGGTTCCAGAGTTTGGCAGTCCTCACATCCCCAAAGGCAGGCTCACTCAGGACCTCCAGCAGATGGCGGCACTTATCCTCATCAGGTATTTGCCAAGTCTCTTTGTAGTAGGGCACTAAGGTGTCTGCTACTTGGAGAGCCAGGATAACTCCTCAGGTGCCGGTTACTGAGGCAACTAGAGGGAACTAATGACCCACACCTGCCTAGCCAGCTGACAAGAAGGGGCAGGGCCTGGCTCCTATATAAATCGCAGGCAGGAGGCCAGGAGGCAGTTCCCTGCTGGTGTTGAGCCCCAGCTCAAGTCTGGGATCGTGCCCGGTATGCAAAAGCCAATAAAGATACCAGGGGTGAAAGTATAAAGATTTATTGCTAGCAATACAAGGTGCAAGCGGAATAATTTCACGTAACAAGCACACAGAGTCTTAATTATGAGCATCTTTTATACAGGAGTATTGGACCTTCATAAGCATTCTTGTTTGCTAATTGGTTATAAGGGAGTGACGCAAGGAGTTCTTTACTGAGCATGTCTCTATACCTGTGTTTTAGCTATGTATCTCATTTCCATACATGTATGTTTCATTAGCATACTTTCTCCCCACCCAGGGGTGTGAATCTTAATATTTAAATCAGCTCTTTGCCCTACTCCACTAATTCTATTTTTGTTTTCAAGTCTCCTTTATCTAAGACTGTCTTCTCCTTATCATTGCAATTGAGCATTAGTTACAGAACAGAGACTTTTGCTTGGGCTATGTGTAGTGGTTTCTAGGTCAAACCTAACATTTTCCCCCTCTGGAGCATTTTTAATTATTTTTATTATAATTGCTCCACTCAATTTGTTTCAACACAAACCTAGTATTCTCAGCTTTCTTCGTTTGTAAAATCATTTGATTCACCTTAGGTCTGAAGATAGATAAGACGACAGGTGAACATTGTATACATAGGATATTTGATTGGTCTTGTTACAAAGGATTCTTCTACCTTGGTTCAATTTGAAGCAATTATTAGTACAATTAACTATTAGGAAACATTCAGAAGCATTAGCTGTTGCCTGAACCCGTACGGAAAACATGTCTCTATTCTTCTCTTTTACAATAGTCCCCCACTTATATATATTCTGATATGTACTTTTCTTCTCTACATTCTTCAGCATAGTATAATTTTGTAAAATTTTTAAAGGGGTTGGTACTGCGATTAAGCATGAGGTAAAAACCAGGTGAGCATTGATCCCTCCCGCTAAGCAGAAGTCCGTTCTATTTAAAATTTCCCGGGCCAGATAAATCCAGACATTTTCCTGAGGGTCAAATTTTTGTTGTAAAAGGGTTTCCCCTCCTATAAGTAGGAGTGGACAGATCAGGGTGCCCCACAATAAAACCTTGAACAATTTCATAATAAGGCTTATAAAACTTAATCAAAGATTGTCAAATTATTCAAAGTTCCTTTCTTTTGAATAGGAATTTCAAGTCTCTTATTGGCTCCACCTTCCACTGTTCTCTGTCTCCGGTCCCGGAGTCTGCAGGGATTCCTTCTTGTTCTGGTCCAGCCACCGGCTTTAGGCGACTGGAATGTATCCAAGTCTTGATTCCTTCGAGCTTTGCGGCCGTCGGGGTCGTTAGAAGTACCCTATATGGGCCTTTCCATCTGGCTCGAAGTGGTTCCTCGTTCCAATCTTTCACAAGGACGTAACTCCCAGGTAATAATCGATTTCCCAGGGCAGGATACTGGTCCTGTGTCTGCAGCACGTCCCGTACCTGCTGATGGATGGAAGACAAAACAGAAACCAAGGACCATACATATTCTCTAATCATTCCCTCTCCTAAAACATGTAACTGTTGTTCAGTACCCATGGGCAGACTCAGAGGGTAAGGCTTACCATACATTATTTCAAACGGGCTTAATCCCAATTTAGAATGTGGTGCGACCCTTACTCGTAACAGGGCCAAGGGTAGGGCCTCTGGCCATTTGAGTCGAGCTTCTTGGCAAATCTTTGCAAGGTGTCTTTTTAAGGTCTGATTCATACGTTCCACCTTTCCACTGGACTGAGGTCTCCAAGGGGTGTGTAAATGCCAGCTGATTCCCAGGAACTCAGAAACCTTCTGAGTAATTTGTGCAATGAAATGTGGGCCATTGTCTGACCCTATTCCTTTTGGAAGTCCGAAGCGAGGTATGATTTCTCGTAGGAGTGTCTTGACTACCTCCCGGGCTTGGGCAGTCCGACATGGGAAGCACTCAACCCAATTAGAGAAAGTGTCCACAAAGACAAGGAGATATTTTATCTCTTGTTGCCGGGGCAACTCAGTAAAATCCACCTGCTATTCTTCTCCTGGCCCATTGCCTATTCTCTGATGTCCTGAAGTTTTTCTTCTCCCTCCTTATGGGTTATTTCTCTGGCAGACCTCACATGTCTCTGATACCTCCTTGGCAGCCTCTCTTAATCCCACTCTAGTTACATAGTAACTGATCCATCTTACCAGGGCCCTGGGTCCGTAGTGGGTACCATGATGAGTGCTCTTTACTACCACATGAACCCAGGCAGCTGGGATGATAATGCGGCCATCCCTTGCTACCAGCCACCCGTGCTCCCCCTTCTTTGCTTGAAACTCTTTTATCAATTGTTTGTCTCTCAGATTTGGCCTTGAAGAATAAACAGCTTCCAATGTTTGCAGGCAGTCATGTACAAGATCTGGTGTGTCAGCCATAGATGGCAGCAGTGTTGCTGGATTTACAGTGCGAAAAATGGCCAATTTTTTT